AAAAAAAAAAAGAAATGTCACTGCAGATTTCACAACTGAAAGCCAACATTGCAGCCATGTGGGTATATGTGACCCCCCCGTGCATGTCTGCATCACTGGTTATAACTGGAACCATTCCTCACAGCCACTCTTGTGATATTTTTAAACTCAAATTATTGATAAGTTTACCATAAAAAAATTAGTGGTGTCACAAGATAATATTTGGGGGAAAGTAAAGTAACTTAAATCCATGATTTCCCAAATGATCAGGGAAGTAGTATATTTCTTAACACAATTGAAAACTCATTCCCATTACTACAACTGTTGTTGTTCTTGTTATGTGCTGTCAATTCTCTTGCGACTCATAGCGACCCTATGTACAACAGCCCTAAACCCTGATCTGTCCTGTGCCAATCACACTGTCTCTGACACTCCCATCTCGATTGCCCCAGTCACTGAATCAATCCACCTCATAGAGGGCCTTCCCCTCTTATGCTGTCCCTCCACCCTACCAAGCATGATGTCCCTCTCCAAGGACCAGTCTCTCCTTACAACATGTCCGAAGTATGTTAGACAGAGCCTCAGAATCCTTGCCTCCAAGGAGCTGCCCGGTTTAACCCTGTCCAGTATGAATCTGTTTGTTTTCCTAGCAGTCCATGGTACCCTCAATACTCTTCTCCAGCACTAAAACTCAAAGGCATCAATTCTCCTTCTATCCTGCTTGGTCATTGTCCAACTCTCTGATGCATAACAAGTGATAGCAAAGACCATGGCCTGTATCAGAAGCACCTTAGTCTCCAGAGAGACACCATTGCTCTTCAGTACTACAGCAGAGGAAAGGAAAAGCTTGCCTAAGTCCATTTCAGGACTTACATTAATTGCTAGATGAATTGCTAGACTTTCTTCTCATCTTTTTTTAGCTGAAGATGTCTCCACCAGCAGCATAGGACTACTTGCTAGAAGCATCAGCTGAAGATGTGCTTAATAAAGTTTTACTGGAGATGATGACCCTCACTCCCTCGCCCTGCGCTCTGCACTTAACGAGGGAATCTTATTTGCTAGGCATTGCAGATTTTTACCATTTTTCTCCTCCTCTGCAGACAGTCCTTGGAGAAACAACTGCCAAATCCTTTCTCTTTCTGCAACAGACATCTGAAAATAGGGAAAACAGAAAAACATAAAAAAAAGAATTTCCTCACAGCAAAAAAGTGTGGCTAATTATAAACATATTTTTATGTGTGAGTGTGATGATGAGATAGATTCACAAAGCCGCTGCAACAGTGGGTTTATGAGCTGCAGAGTTTGGAGAGAATGGCACCAAAATGCAGGGCTGTGTTCAACATAGGTTATTATGAGGCAGAGTCAAATTGCACTTAACAAAAACAAGAATTTGACCCTCAATGTGATGGATTGACATAGGGATGGGAACAGTGAGCTCAGGCTCCTGTCAGAGATCGTGAGGGTTGCAGGACAGGGCAAGGTTCAGATCTGTTGTTCTGGGGTAGCTGTGATTCAGATGGACTCGGTGACACCTAACTCCACCACCACTGCATGGGGCTGTTATTGCAAATCTTTGATGAGATGCATCAGTACTTGGCATTAAAACATCAGTGTATTTTGGTGGCTTATTTCCTTTTCTGCTTGCTGTAAAAGTTGCAAGTAGCAATGGATCCCATATTTTCTGAATTGTGGAGCTTATGATCCCCTTGCAGTTTAGTAGAAGTGCCTGAGTCAGTCCCTGGCTCTGGGCGTTTCGGAAAGCTGTGAGCAGGGAAAAGAAACGGGAGACAGAGCAAGTCTCCAGGGGAGTATTCCTTCCAGTTCTGAAGATTAGCCCAGGGTTTGGCTGTGAGAATGGGAGATGGGGCCGTGTGTGTGTGTGTGTGTGTGTGTGTGTGTGTGTGTGAGAGAGAGAGAGAGAGAGAGACAGAACATGAACTACAAATGGAAGCAATGTCCCTTGTAATTCCCTTGTCTTCTTGATGCCTGTTACCTTCTACACTCTAGCCAGCAACACTAACTTACATCAACCTAAAGAATAGCTTACCTACTGACCCAGTTCCAGTAATCAGCTATCTGGAGCAATTGGAACTTGTGTTACTCAGCCATAGCCATTAAAAAGATGAGCAGACTGGTTTTTAACGGTGTAAGAACTAATGGTATTTTCCAGGGATGGTTTGGGGTGACTTTTCTACCTTGCCCTCTATCAAGCGCCTCCATGACCACCCCTTCAAATGAGGCTACACCCCGTGTTTCCTGGGCAGGTGCAGCTTTGGCATGCATTTCCCTCCACTCCCTCTATTGTTCCACTTTAGTCCTTCACAGGTAGAAAATGCAGAGCAGCTGAGGCTCAGATCATCCCACCAATCCTGCCTCGTTACTGGTCAGTCATAGACTCAAATGACTGGGTACAAGGGCTGCTTGGCTGGTATCCAAAGATAACACACTTATGTGCTAATCAAAGGTTAAAGGTTCAGATCCACCCAGAAGTACCTTAGGAGAAAGACCTAGTAAACTACTTCTGAAAAATCAACCTCTAAAAGCCCTATAGGACATAGTTCTACTCTTACATACTTGATCTCGCCATGGAGTTAATTGGTGTGGACTCAACAGCAACTTGCATACAGATTAGTAGGCATACAGCTTCAGGGGGGGAACACCCCAAAATATGTGTATCTCTATATATACAGATGTATACATACACACATCTATACATATACACATACATATTTTTGGTTCTATATATACATATATATACACACACACACACCTGCATATGTGAGTGTATATGGATATATTCCATAAATATATGTTGGAGAACATCATCTAAATATGTGGTTGTGTACTGTCGAGTCAGAAGTGACCCATAGGAGACCCTACAGCAGGTTTTCAGAGACAGTTAATCACACGGGAGGAGATTGCCCATCCTCCTCTCATGAAACAACTGGTGAACTCAAACCGCACGACTTTGAGATTATAGTGCAGTTTCTTGTTACTAGACCACCAGTGGCATATATTCATTCGTCATTCAAATTTATGAAGAGGTTTTTTCATTTTACTGTATGTGTATGACTTTTGGTTTCATCTGTTCTTACATTCTTGTTGCTTATTATAAAGATGTTTAGTAAAATGCAGGGGATTTTCCTTCCAGTTATGACATTAAGACAGACAGTAGTCAGTTAAGTTTTACTCTCTGATGCAACCACTGTCTGTTGTCCACTGTTTAGCTGTGAATGTATGGCAACATTCCCAGCAAGGCTGGTGGCATTTAAAACTACAAGCAGCAATGGATTTTGGTAAAATACAACTTTCTTCACAAAATACCCCCAGTCCCCCCCCAAAAAGCAAGGAAGGGTAATTGGGTACCCCCAATAGATTATGCATATGCTGCATGCCTCAGCTCGTGTGTCACTTGCTTGGAGATGTTGCTGAACTCCCAGAAGCAGGTGACCAGATGGGATTGCATCCTCTACTTTCCCTTCTCAGAACTTATCAGCATTTGGGAATGTGCTTGTTTATTTGGCTGTACTTATTTTAAATAATGTGTTTCCAACAAGGCTCCATATGGGCAGAGGCTGTGTTTATTCTCTCTTTTATCTCTCTTGGGTCCCTAGCACCTAATTCAACACCTGGCTTTCCAGAGACTTTGTAAACATTTGTGAGAGGGAGTGAGGAAATCCATTGATCTCACCAGTTCTCCAGATGAGGTGTTTTACCTTGGAAATCGCAGTGATTTCTCTTTTTCTTTCTTTTAATATTTTGTTGGTTTTCATATAATAATTTCTTTACATTATGTTTCATTCATATACATAGAAAGAGTGATGTTACTGTTCAATTGAAATGCATACTCCTTTCAGTAAGCAATCCTAGTTTCCACAGCACTTTACTCAGACTTGCATATGATTTCTCACACTATGAAGATGAGTTTCTGAAGAGTTCACTTCACATGTGAGTTTAAGACCAAATCTCTCTCATCTAATCCCCACTTCTGGCTGGTGTGTTTCATCAAAAATGTCTTTGATGGAATGGATAAAATTTCTAATGTGAAGACTACTCTTGGGTTGTCATTAGATTTCTTTTTGGCTCTTCTAAGAGGTTGACATTTTTCTGATTTGTTCTCCTCATTCTTGGGAGAGTTATTTGTTTAGCTAGTATTTGTTAGCTACTTTATTTTCTTTGATTAACCCTACATGTTCCAGAAGAAAGCTATGTGTCTTCCCATTGGAGTTGCTCTCTTATGATTTTATGTACATCCTTGACTTTTTTTTTTTTTTTAAATTCCAGTGATTTCAGACTTTGAGGAAGGATAAAATCATTGTTCCCAAGTCACTATTCATAGGCTGGCACAGTGACTACCACAGTGAGGTTGAGCATGATGACAGTGATGGGGCATCATAGGACATGGTTCAGATCTGTTGTTCATAGGATCACTATGAATCATAGTTGACTCGACAGCACCACAAATAGTAAATGTCCAAAGTTATGCTCAGGATAAAGTCCTGAAGTCAGCTCTGACTTACAGTGATTTTCCCGTGTAGTAGAAGTAGAAGTGTGCTTTGCAGGATTTCCAGTGACTGGTTTTTCAAACACAGATCACCAGGACTTTATTCCAAGGCAACTTTGGATAAACTCAAACTTTGATCCTTTTGACAAGTGGCCAAGTCTGTTAATGATTTTTACCATGTAGGAAGCTTAAGATTACATGATCTTTCAAGTACAGAGCTAGAACGAAAACATTCTAATGCCTTCTCTGTTTATTTAATGTAGAAATTCTAGACTATATGGAATTACTTAAAGGAAATGCAAGTGGTACCCTCACCTGAGGGATCTAATCCCAGTAGGACCCATCACATTGCACTCTGGTTTGCTATCAGCACATGTCATTCCTTGCTTATTTCCAGTTACCAGTGTCCTCTCCCCAAACCATATCCCAAGATAATATCATTCTGGATGAACTCTAGGGTGTTCTGTACCACATTAAGTGTTTCTTGTATTTGTCTTCAGGACCGTCTGTTTTTCGTAATGGAGTTTGTGAATGGAGGCGACCTGATGTTCCACATTCAGAAATCACGTCGCTTTGATGAAGCCCGTGCTCGGTTCTATGCTGCAGAAATCATCTCTGCGCTCATGTTCTTACACGACAAAGGAATCATCTACAGGTGAGATGAGACTACCGGCACACCCTTCCCACCATTGTAATTCATTCTTCGCATTTCTCTTTGCTTGTCCATCCTTCCATTTCTCATGATATCATGTAACTTTTGACATTGAATTCCCAATGGCTCTAATTATTCATTGGACTGTAAAGGAGAAACAGCAAAGAATACTGTCTTCATACTAAAACTTGACACATTTGATATTTGTCAGATAGACCTGAGAGGCTCACAAGAGATTGTTGGTGAGTTTATTCAACTAAGACTGGTGGAATCTTTTACTCTGCTGAACACTGTTTCTTTTCTCTGTTTCAACATTTAAAGTCCGTTAGTTGTGGCTCCTTTAGTTTTTAGAGTACACATCTAATCAGTAAAATGTGGTAACCACTGCTCTGTTTTTGTTAGCACTCCCAGCTTTTACCCTTGACACTGGTAACTCAGTGGTAACTCAGTGTACAGTGGAACCAAATTGCTTCTGCAATCCCATCACTAGTTATGCATTGGACCATTGTGATACATAGGGTTTTCATTGGTTGAGTTTTGGAAGTAGATCAGAGGGCCTTTCTTTTTGGCCATATTTATTCTGGAGGCCCACTCAGACTCTTTTTTAGCATCACAGCAATGTGCAAGCTTCCAGTGACAGATTGATAGTGGTTGTATATTAAACACATTGGCTAGGGGTTGAACCTGGGTCATCTTTCTAGGAAAAATGAGCTTTACCATTGAGTTACCTTCACCTTCCACCATTGCTGTAAGTAGTTGTAAGAAGCAAGCAGCAAGGTCAGATGGACGCAGTTTGCCAGTGAAGGAACTAAGGGAACTGCCAGTGAGCAATGTCCTGCTATTTTCCATTTGTAATCTTCCAAATATCAGTTGATTCTGTGTCATGGCCCACACGGTGTTACATCTCAAGATTCAACATAAGTAATGCTATTCTTATTGTCTTTTAAGTAGAAGAGATTCTTTGAAAAGTGGATATTCTTAAGTACCATGGAAGTCAGAACAGGACAAAAAGAGTGAGAACAGTAAGAACCCATTCAGTCTAGTAGATAGTGCCAGAAAAAAATGGGAAGGCAGGAGAGGTATAACACGAAGTATAAAGAAATTTCATTTAGTTAATTCTCAGTGAACATGTATGAACTGAGAAAATATTGCAATATGATAAATAAATATTGTCAAAGATTTTGTTTTTTCTTGGATCCAACAGTCAGTGCACATAGAAGCAAAAAAATAAAAATTATTTATTGGGCAGGTCTGGAAAAGACCTCTTAAAATTGTTGAAAACAATGCACATCCAAAAACTTCTCTAACAGGGTAAAAAGGGAAACCACAGACTGGGAAAAAGTATTTAGTAATGACATGTCAGATAAGGGGCTTATATCTAGAATTTATAAAATACTTGAGGAAAACAAATAGATTTGTCCTGGAGAGGGTTAAACCGGGTGGCTCCTTGGAGGCAAGGATTCTGAGGCTCCGTCTAACTTACTTTGGACATGTAGTGAGGAGAGACCGGTCCTTGGAGAGGGACATCATGCTTGGGAGGGTGGAGGGACGGCGCAGGAGAGGAAGGCCCTCTGTGAGGTGGATTGATTCAGTGACTGGGATAATTGGGATGGGAGTGTCAGTGACAGTGCGATTGGCACAGGACAGAGCGGAGTTTAGGGCTGTTGTACATAGGGTCGCTATGAGTTGCAGGCGACTCGACGGCACATAACAACAACAACAACAACTTGAGCACTGCAACAAGATAAATGTAAACAATCCAATTGAAAACTGGGCACAGGAAATGAACAGACGTTTCACCAAAGACGACATTCAGATGGCTAACAAACACATGAAGAAATGTTCAAAATCCCTAGCTCTAACAGAGATGCAAATCAAAACAACTATGAGATATCATCTCACCCCAGTCAGAATAGCAAAATTTAGCAAAACAGCAAGCAACACATGCTGGCGAGGTTGTGGAGAAACTGGAACCCTTATTCACTGTTGGTGGGAGTGTAAAATGATGCAACCACTGTGGAAGACAGTATGGCGTTTTCTCAAAAAGTTGCAAATAGAGATACCATTTGACCCAGGAATTCCACTACTGCTGGGAATATACCCTAAAGAGACCATAACTTGACATCCAAGCAAATATATGCACACCCATGTTTATCGAGGCTTTGTTCACAATAGCAGGGTGTTGGAAACAACCTAAGTGCCCATCAACAAATGAATGGATAGAGAAGCTGTGGTATATTCACACAATGCAATACTATGCTGCTTTAAAAAACAAGGAACTCATGCAATATTATTCAAAATGGGTGACCCTGGAGGACATTATGCTGAGTGAAATATCTTAGTCACAAATGGACAAATATTGTATGGTGCCACTGTTGTAAAACAGGACTGACCTCGGGGCTGGGAGGAGACTGAGAAAAATAGGGTAATATATACTACATTGAAACAGATGAGGCAGAAAACTGTATAAAAGGGATATGTGATTAGATATTATTGTCATGACAGGAGTCCAGAATGAAGGCTGCATAGTGGAGTTGACCTGGGGGTAGGGATTGTATAACAACGAAAGACTTTTACTTTTAGAGAGAAGAGTGAATTGGGGAGAGGGAGGGTTGGACAGGGAGAAAATAGCAACAATGAATGAATGGAAATCCTCAATCTCTGTGAACTTTCATGAAAATTAATAATAATAAAATTTTGTTTTAAAAAGTTGCTAAAAACAAAGATGATACTTCAAGGATGCTTTAGATGACCTGGAATTTAAGCTTCCTTTACCAAGTAGCTTTGTCAAGAGATTTTTTTTTTCTTCTCTTTCTCTCCTGTCCTATCCCAGCACAATTTGTGGCTGGTGCAATTTCTCACATCGTTGCTGGTACTATTAAATTCTGGATAAGGAGATCCCACTCTGCTCTTTTCTCCATAGTTTATTCATCCACTTTTGTTCTGCTTACCCAAAAAGAGTTTTCCCAACTGAAGTGAAGTTTTGTAACTTCACTACTGAATAAAAACTTGTGTTGTAAATCACATTAATAGCACTGTTGTTGGTATTGTTATATGCCTTAGAGTCAATTCAACTCATAGTGATACTAGGTACAATTGCTCTGAACCCTGCCGTATCCTGAGCCAGTCTCACTGTCTCCAACATACCTACCTTTATTATCTCAGTTACTGTGTCAGTCTCCCAAGTATGATGACCTTCTCCAAGGACTGGTTCCTACTGGCAGCATGCCCAAAATATGTTAGACAGCTTCAAAATTCTAGTCTCCAAAGAGAAAGTTAGCTTCACTTCCTCCAGAACAAACCTGTCCATTTTTTTAGCAGTCTGTGGTATGTACTCTTCTCCAGCACTGCAACTCAAAGGCATGAATTCTTCGTCTGTCATCCTTATTCATTGTCTGGCTTTCTGATGTGTAGCAAGTAATTGTGAATAGCATGGCCTGGATCAGGTGCATCTTGGTCTCTAGACTGACATCATTGCTCTTTAGCACTCTGGATAGGTCTCTGACCGCACATTTTCCCAGTGCAGTTCATCTTTTGATTTCCTGACTGCTGGTCCGAAGGGGTGTCAATTGTGGAACCAAGTAAGCTGAAATTGAAATCTCTCCTTTATCTATCATGATGCTGCCAGTTGGCCCAGTGGTGAGAATCTTTGTTTTCTTGATACTGAGTTTTTTATAGAGCATATTAGAGAACATAGTCCTTGACCTACAGCAAACAATGCAGGTCCTCCTCAGTTTAACAAGCAAGGTTGTGTCATCTGCATAATGCAGGTTGTTGAATCTTCCTCCAATCCCGATGCCATATTCCTCCTTTTAAAGTCCAGCCTCTTGAATAATCTGTTCCACATAGAGATTTAAAAGATACGGAGACAGGATGCATCCGTAACACACTTCTTTCTTGATTTTGAACCATGCAGTATTTCCATGCTGTTTTTTGATGACTGCTTCCTAGTCCAGGTATAGATTTCACATGAACACAATCAGGTGTTATGTGATTCCTGTTCTTCTCAGAGTTAGCCTCAATTTGTTTTGATCCGCATAGTCAAATTCTATTGCATAGTCAATGACACACAGATAGACAGCCCTCTGGTATTCTTAGCTTTCAACCAAGATCCATCTGACATTGGCTGTGATTTCCCTAGTATCATGGCCTCTTCTAAAATGCAGCTTGCCTTTCTAGTAGTTCTCTGTCATTTTTTTAATAATATTCAGCAGGATTTTGCTTGTGTGTGATATTAGTGATACTGTTTGATAATTTTCACACTCTATGGGATCACCTTTTTAAGGGATTGGAATAAGTAGGGATCTCTTCCAGTCAGTTGGCCAGATAGTTATCCTCCAGATTGCTTGATACAGCATGGTAAGCACATCCAGGGCTTTTGTTGTTGTTGTTGTTGTTGTTGTTGTCGTCATTTGCCTTCGAGTTGAGCACGACTCATAGCAACCGTATGAACAAAAGGCCTGAAGCCCCTCTACAACTATCAACATTTATGAAAGATCATAGAGTTTCCAGAGGCAAGTTGTTGAGGAAGTGGATGCCACTCCTGAACTATGTCAAGTGATATTCCATCTATTCTTGGGGCCTTTTATTGCTAACTCCTTCAGAGCAACTTGAACTTCCTCCTTCATCATCATTGCCTCTTGGTCATAAATTGTTTCATGAAATTCTTCTGCATCAGCCAGTGTACTCCTTCCATCTTCTTTTGATGCTTCCTAGATCGTTCAGTATTCTGCCCGCAGAGTCCATAAGGATTAAGAGGAGCTAAAGTGAGTACATGCTATCTATCTCACACTTTATGTTTGTTTCTCCTTTAAATAATATTATTGTTAATAATATAACAGTAATATCATCTTCTCTGTTTAGATGAGTCTGTTTCTAAGCTTATAAACCTTTATAGAAGGAAGTTTTTTATCTGTCTCCCACAGAGCAACTGTTGGTTTCAGATGTTGACATTTCAGTTAACAGCCTGATACATTCTGTACTGTGACAACAGGGCTCTTTTT